TCAGTAAAAGACACTGCAATCCAATTTTTATTATCAACTTTAGGCAATTTCATTATTTCCATCAAATAAAAATATATAGATAGAATTTTCTAAAACACAAAATCTTCTTTACAAATAATTTTCATTTCAATTCAATGCAAATCACAAAATATTCTCTTTTTTGCTTTTTTTTCTGTAAAATGCCACAAAAATTAACAAAAGATGAAGAATTTACCATTTATTTACTCCAATTTTTCAATGAATATTCCCAATTAAATTCAAGGTTGATAGGATATACCAAAACGATTTTTCTTTGTTATTTTCTTATCAATAATTTATTCGATTTTGTTGATGGATTGTCAATAATAAAACTTCACTTTTTCTTTCATTTCTAGATTATTTATTTAATAAAATTTTTTTCTTTTTTTCAAAATTAAAATTCCATGCAAAAAATTATTTCAAACTTCTGAATTCGATGATTCCAATGATTAGTAACATAAAGATTTCCTTCGTCATCCAAAACTAAGCCCACAGGACCATTCAATGGATTTTCTTCGCCATTTCCACCAACAGCAATTTCACCGTCTTCTTTTCCCTTCACACCAACGCACCACTCGATGATTTTCAGCATCTGCCACATATATTTGACCCAAATCATTAACATATATTCCTTCAGGACCAGACAATTGATTAAGATTTCCCCCTTTACTATTTCCTCCAGCCACAATTCTTCCTTCTTTTGCATCTTTTCTCCATTTCATTATACGTTTATTTTCCCAATCTGATACATAAACAGTTTGATCTTCATCAACAAAGATATAAGTAGGATGACTAAGTTGATTAAGTAGATCTCCTTCACCATTTCCACCTGCCGCTATAATTCCTTCATTGTATTCACCCATTCTCCATCGTCTCACTTCATCTTTCATAATATCAGAAACATAAAGAAATCCGTGTTTATCCATTGCCAAACCATAACAGTCAATATTATCGATGAGAATTTGTTGATTCTGATTCAACCATTGAATCACTCGTCTGTTCCCATTATCAGCAATGATAATCGAATGATTTTGTTGATCTACAATCACATCTGTTGGATGATTCAATTGATCCATTCGATTTCCTTGTTTATTTCCACCTGCAAT